GTATAAGAGTACCATAGAATCCTTTCTTTGAAAGTTCTTGAGAACTCATCGGAAGCCTAGAGTATCTGTAACATGCTAGTTCTAAATAGCATAGTGATCAAAAGGTCAGATGTATGATAGTACAGAACGATTAACTCAGACACGAAAGACGTGACAGGTGAATTTCGAACAGGATAGTAATGTAACGTAGGTAGTTAAGGAATAATACCTATCAACTCATCAAATAAATGATGTAGTTACAGTTACCTATTGCAAAAGGTTTTAAAAAACCAAGTCGTAAATTAGTATGTAGCAAAATATAGAGTTTGGTGTAATTACACAACTCATGATGTAATTGTATAATAGCTCAAATTCAGATACTGTATACATTATTCATGTGAAAAGTGAAGTGTGCATAGCTGAGTTAGTAAAGAAATCACCATTAGATGTAGAAAAAACAAAACATTCAATCTTTCGGAGAATCTGAAGTGTAAACATTAGTTGATAACATATTGGCAATCATGAATCTTGTTGAACCGTCGTAAAATAGCAGCGACGAGCAACATGCATACTTTTGTGCAAATACACAACTGGTGTCTAATCGTACGTCTTGTCGGCCTTTTTTATGTATATAACATTATAATTGTTGTTTTATTTTGAATTTAGTATGTTTGTCGCATAAACTCTTCATTATTATCAGGTTTATGTGTTTTTTATTAACTTGTGCTTGTTTTAGGTCTTGTAAAAGTTATTTATCACTATACTCGGTAAGAGTCAATGGATGATCGTGTTTTTTCTTCGCAATCAAGCCCGAAGGTGAGCACAATATGATTTAACATGTTTGAACGATGTGATTAGTCTTACATAAAGTTATGTAATCTTACTAATAATTGAATAAGGGTTGTAATATTTAATAGCTTCTTGTATATCACTCTTGTATATCACTAGTAAGTTCAATGGTGAATAGGTAGTGTTTAGCACCAACTTGAATCAAGTATTTCACAATTAGGTTATAATCTAGACAATTTTAAGGTGCCAGGTTTCAATTGTACCAATGTGGATCAAACTAAGCGTAGAGATAATCAACAGGAGGCAATCAATAGAGCTGTTATGTCAAAAATGTTGAAAGTGTTGTTTGTGCCTAATCCTACAAAAATGCCAATCCAAAAGATTGTGGATTTTTTCTTGAAGGAGGTGGTCAGGTAGGACAAAGTTCCAATATGAGTAAAGTTAGAATATTGAATAGCTTATAGGTACGAGAATGAGAAGGATCCAAATGCAATTTCATGGTGTAAAGCAATAGGCTCCATGGGTGAAACCATAAGTTTCAAGGGTAGTATCTAATTCAAATGGTACCAGCGTTATATAATCAAAATAAGTATTAAGGGAGAAATGTCTTCGTGCTTCTGGCAATATTTCCTGGAATCTGGGAGGAAAAAATTGTTTGAATACAACAAAATGAACAAAACCAAAATAAAAGTAGTACGAGGACACACTATAAAAGCAGGGGATCTGGAGAATTTAAGGTACAGACCTTGACTAATACCTTTGAACTTATAATTGCAGAATATGTAATGTTGAAAAGGATCTAAATGTTTCGTTTAGTCTATATCTGAGGAAGAGAATCAGACAATATTGTGTGGACAACCATCTATCTGTGCCTGAAATCGCAATAAAAAATGCGTTCCTAACGATCCGAAAAAGAAATGGTGAAACCACAGTAAGTCCAATTTATCATAGTGGTTTGTAGCATCTTAGATTGTTGTTGAATTATATAACCTTTCCAGAAAATGCGTTCCACCGAGATGGCAATAAAGTTAGGATGGACATACGAAGACTGGCATGGAACGCAAATCGATATGCTGATGTCAGATGCCGAAAGGGAGGCCTACCATGTATGTTCAATATCATTAAGTGTTGATATCTACTTAATAAAGGTGAGATAGAATGATTATTCAGGATGGCAGAATAAAGTGGGGAAGTCTCCCTATCGATTCGCTTTTGAATAAGGAGTGCACTTCAATTAAGGATTCAGAACCAAATATGCAGGTATTAGAAAGAGAACATCTATATTTCCAGATGTTTGAAGTGCTGATTTATAGGATGTACATTCAAATCGGAAGAGAGAGGCTACTCGATCTGAGGAAACCACTGTCAAGCAACCTAGATGTGAAAATGTTGATGAGGAAGCCACGCCAACGGAGAATGTTGAAGGTGACAACGTTGATGAAATGAATGGGTAGTGATAAACTAATGTTATATATGGAAATATAACCGTTTTAAAGAAGTTTTTGTTTGAACTGTTATTTGAGTTACTAATGAAGTTTCCAAGGTCGGAGTCTTAGAGAAAGTGACTGATAGTAATTACATTAAAGAATGATATGCTAAGAAAACAAAGCGATATGTTGAGAAAGCAAATAAATGACAACAAACACGTCAATCGACGCACAACGGACCACCGGTCCCGAAAAAGAGCCACCACCGGTGACATGGAGGCCGTCGCCTCAAAAAGAGGTTAAGGTAGTAAGAGGTTCTAATCGCGACGAACTGGATGCCATCCCTTGTGTCCCGGGTTACCCTCGGAAAACAACGTGCACCAGTCTTGTCCAATAAATGAAGTAAAGTGAAATGTATGATAGCTCAATTTACCAAAGCAAAAACATGGTTCGTTTCGCCTCTACTCAGACGAACCACTCTATTCCGTTAACCCTATGAGGCTCATCAGTGAGTGTAGGGTTAACGGAATCATGAGAAGTAGATAAAGTTAGTGGGGAACAAAAAGATGTGGTGAAGGAAATGGGACACAAACGAAGAGTGTGATACCTGGCCTACATGCTGTGAGGTATTTATATACAAATTTTGTAGGTAATACTACAATTTGGCTGAGTATCGCCAATATGAAACCTTTAACATTGGCAACAGAGCGTGTTAACTGTTGGTATAGCTAGTTTATATGATTTACTATATAAGATAACATAACTAGTACCGATTATTTTCAAACAAACCACACACAAATGATTTTATTCGTTTATAGCTGGCATCAATGGAATATTTATAACCAATAAACTTATTTTTATATATGCACTTTAATATGCTAGTGATAATAAAGGTTTCTTCATACTCACTGGATTTCAGTACTTTTATCATTTCTTTGAGTTTAGAAATGAAGACTTCATATAAGTGCACAATTCTCATCAGCGAACGCGTCAACGACGCGAAAAACACCCGCGAGCATTTGCCCAATTCGGTAAACCAAAGACACGCACATGGGTTTTTCTTCAAAAAAAAAAAAAAAAAAAAAAAAAAAAAAACACTGCTCATCTTTTTTTCACATCTCTGAGAAGCGCATGAAGGAAGAAGGTAAATGGAAATGGGAGAGGGAGAAGTAATACTACACTTTGTGGTAGGAGTTCCTCATCGCCCCTCAGTACTGGTCTCTGATACCCTACGGTACGATAGAAGGCTATACTAGCTAGTAATCGGCTAAAAAAACGTACTAAAAACACGGAATTATGGTAACGTCATACTAAACCAGCAAGCATAGTAATCGTCGGAACAACGGAATCGATTTTAATTAGTATGGAAATGATAATATCAGCCTTGTTATCGATAGTAACTACCAAAACGTACTATTACCGTAGTTATCAGGGTGATATAGCTGTCATTTGTTACACAAGTTCAGCTCGGATTCCCAATGAGTTAGAAAAGTATTAGTAACCGTAATACGGCAAGAATTACAGTAAGTTCACTGCGATTCGAGATGATCCAAATCAACTATATCGAGTCGTAAGGATTAACCGTGGAAGGTCAATAGCGAGGTTACTAACCAGAAACTATCACTCATCACTATCCAAGTAAGCCGAAATTTTGGATGAATTCAAAAATGATTCAAGTGAAAAAGAGAGGACAAAAACGATGGCAAGACGCTTCCAAGGAATTTAGAGATGCGCAACAAGAATACCGTACCTTGCTGGTGGTGTCAACCCGTCAAGAGATGAAGCACGGACGCTTCGCGGATGTTCGTCCCGGTTTGGCCATCCGGTGGATCACCACATTGACGATTTTCCTCACCTTCATTCTGGATACGCATGAAACGTGAATGCAACGAAAGATTGTGCCGAATCGAATTCTGAAACAGTGAAAGATTCAGTAAGTAATTCAAGGATACAGTGGAAAATTTGGGTTTAAAAAATCTTGAATCTTTGTTTAAAAATATTCGACCGTACTTTCAACTGACAAAGGCTCAGCAGACCTTTTCTTTTGACTAAACGCAATAAAATTTTATTCAAAAAAAAACAGCAAATGAATGGTCTATTGGGAAAAACGATTTATCGATTTCCTGGGGGAAATCTGAGAATCCAAGTAAGGGAGAAATTACTGGTAAAAAGCAGGTACAAAGGAAGGGCAAAAGGTAGAAGTGGCGACCGAAATTAGGCTCAACCGATTTTCACCCTTAGAAAAATAAAGTAATAATAAAATAATTTACTGAACAGAAATTGTATCCAAGGCCTAAAATAGAAATCTGGCAAATAATAAGAGTTTGTATTCGGAAAAAGCTACTAGACGGATCGCATGGAAGGTCGGGTGCTACCTAATGACCCTAAAGCAAAAGCAGATTGAGGAGCCCAAAGAGCCTTATGAAGACAAAAAAGAGCGATGGGGTCGTATTCAAGGCATGTGTCAGAGGACAGTCAACTGACTACCGTGAAACAAAGCTGATGTCAAGCAATCGAATTCACATCTTTCGAAAGCTCTCGACTTTCCCTTTCTATTGATCTCGTTTTCCGTCGCCTTTCACTTGCTCACTCCCTTTTATCCATTTTTTACGTTACCGGAATATTTCTGAGAACATGATTTCTTCCTTTTGAAATGCCAGTTCTTCAAGAAAATTTCGCAGGAACATTTCCTAAGTGGAGGATTCGAAGACGAAGAAACAATGCAGGGATAATCGTGGCTAGATATTCATGGTCAGCAGAATTTTCGTATGAACATTCACAACATCATCACTCGTAACTTGTCAGGCTAAGCACCACGGCTCAGCATTAGAATGGACCGGAGGAGCATATCATACAACTTTTGGGAGAAGAGCGCATAGCCCTACTGAAGAAACTCCCAGGTCAGCAATCGGTCTCCGAAGTTTCGTTACGTTTACCTGTGGGACCTCACAATGTCCACTCAGATATTGAAAGCGCGTAAGCGTCAGGGAAAACTTCAGGGAGACCTCACGACGTCCTGACTAAGTCCAAATTGAAACTTCAGAAATATTCAATTTGAAATCATGACAAAAACCGGGCATCCTGGGTGAAGACACTGCATGTGCTCAGAAACAGGAGAAATTTGCTTGTTACACTAGGTATTCTCAGACGCCCATATTCTGAAATATTTCCCTATCCTGATCTCTCTCCTTGAAGCCCCACTTAAATACAACGCTCAGAATACGGTAATCTTCCCGGAAGCTTTAACCCCTCCTCATTTTGATCCGCTGACACTTCTACCTCTTTTCACATGCCGACTACAGCTGGTCGGCGTGTGAAGTGTTCGGCCGTCCGAGGCGAACGGCCACCGTCCGTCGGGCTGACCTCTGGTCGATTGGCCGTGGCCGTCGCTGGCCGCCGCTGGTGTCGCCGTTCCTTCGTTCGTTCGCTATCTCATTCATAAAATGAGACATCAACTAGGACTCTTGAAGATTACCCCGCTATTCAAAGCGACTTGAATTTTCGTGGGCCCAAAGATCATAAGCTGGGAAGAATCCCGGGGAGAGAAAATATCGCATCGAAAGAGCATGCATGAGAAAGGGAGCATAATCCTAAACCGCTTTCGTTGACATCATAGCCGTCTAGGCTGCTTAAGACCAAACCAGCTTTCCCATGAGGATCAAAATGCAGAGGAAATCAGACAGAGCCCTTGTGATCTCCCTTAGAATTCAGATGAATACCGTAACCCTGCAGCGCTTGAAACGACGCTGGCTCCCGTAGAACACCATAAAACTCTCAATTACCGTCTAAGCCAAAAAAAAAACTAAATCATTCATAGGACACAGCGGCAAGGGGTACTTTACGAACTTCAAATAAGTTCTGCATACAGAATACCGATGGGTATGTCGTGTGGTGGGTGATAAGTCACAGGCCGTAGACCGTCGGAGATCCTTTGTCGCAACTTTCGGGCACAGCTGGCCGTTCTGGCTAAATTTGACCTGTTGGACTCAAGAAGCCGTTCAAATTGACGATATTTGGGTTCTAGAAGGAGAAGTGTATTTGGAAATGTACCCACCCCCTGAGACATTTATTTCCAGAATTATTCCGCTTCCGACAAAATCGATGACCTCAGGAAAATACTACGCCCACCCATCGAAGGGCTATCCGTTTCAAGCTATTAGGAAACTATTCCTTACAGTTCTCCCCTAACGGCAACCAAGCGATGCAGAACACCCGGGATCCACCTCTCAGCGGCCAGTTGAAGCCGGCTAGCCAGCGATCTTTGGCGTAGCCGTTCGTGCCACGCGTTCGCCGTCGTCTACACACAAACCTGGCTCACACGGGGCATTATATGCTGAATAGACAATGCGGCGGGTCGCGAACAGCGAGGAGAGCAGGCAACCGGCCGCGGTGGCAGGCGGCGGGCGACACGCCGCCGTCGCCGTCGCCGGCTTCTCATCACCGGCCACATGGACGAACGGGAGCCAGGAACGGGTGGAACGGATGGTCGATGATCTACACATCTTCGAATCCCGAACACTTTCGGGAAGAGGGCAATCCAAGAGCGACCCTTCTAAAAACCCACGCAAACTCTTCTAAATCCTGCTCCATTATGGTTAAAGGCTTACCATAGAAGAGTTTACACGCTCACTAGATCTTCTAAATTCATGAACCATCTAGGTTCAATTTCTCAGGACAGAGACGGTTCCTAATGTAGTTTACTTGATGGACCGGTTCCAAAATGAAAGCCCGGTGCATTCAGGACCAAATACTGCTTATAGGTCTTTTCAAGACCCAAAGAAATGCGCTAAGCAAAAAGAGTGCATCAGACAGCTTAGGTCAGTTTGCCAATTCGGAGCCATCATAGGCTTTATACCCAGCCGAACCGAACTGTTAATTTTTCATCTATTTTACGATGTCGATTCTCGAGTTCCGACTTTCGGGAACCCTCGCCAATCAAATTTGGTACATTTCATTTTGCGATAAAGCAAAGCACCATGCATGTCTAATTGGATATATAATGGCACTTTTATACCGTAATAGCTTGTTTCTCCAAGAAATTTCGCTTCAGTGCAGACGTTCGGAGCTTTTCTGCACTGGAATTCAACACCAGCCAATGCCAGTCACAGCACACCTAATATTTCACCCTCTCGTCCCCGTTACCTATCCCCTCGTCGTTCCCCATGAGCCCACCTGTTCCATAGCAACCGAGAGTTACGAAACTCAGGTGTGACAACTGCCATAGGACGGAAATTGCGCTTTCATAATAGGCTCACTCGCCTGGACAACATTACGATAGATGACGCATCCTGTGGCGAGAGTGAAAACGCTAACCAGGTATTTTCGGACGGGAATATTCATCGAAGGACGATCAAACCCCCTATTACCACCAAGATGGCCGTCGATAGTGCGAGGTTATCGTGTGACCCGTGTGATGAGAGATCTGCGGCCGGCTGGCTGGGTGGCTGAGTGGCTGACCGGACTGAACGCCACCACCACCAACCGACCAATCCTAAGTATCGATCCGAATCGATAATGGTACCCAGACGGGACCATCATAATCGACCCGGGCACCACCAAACCGATTACTATTGGTCCGTTCTGTGTGACGGCTCATTGCCTACGGTACCATGGCGGTGATGGTGTGTCGTTATCGACGTCACGCCATCTGTCGTTCGTTCACATGCTAAAGGGGTAGAAGCCAGCAGCAGCAGCTAATCAATTCCGCTAATCGAATCAATAACCGTAAATTGCACGCTCCGATAGCGAAATATCGGCTAAAACTAGTTTTCCGACTAGTAAAGCAGCAGCAGCAGCGCGTGGCGCGTTCAACAGTAGCAGCGCTGTAGTAGCAGTAGCAACGTCGACGCGTCGAAAACCAGCTTCTTCGCTAGCATACAAAGCAACTTTGACTGACACTTTAAAACGATCGATATCGATCGATAAAGCTGAACAGTATGGTCACTTCATCAACTCCAGCTCATTATGGGGTAGTGAAAGCGCTGCCAATTTACTAGGGCAAGATTAAAACATTTAGATACCCTTTTGAGCTTTCTCTTCACGTCCCGTTCGGGTAACTCAGGTGACCACGTATTCTTGTCCACAGGTTCTCTGGGACCATTTTTACCGTTATGAATCCTACCACGGCAAGCGGGGCAAGAATCCAACTTCTGGAACACTACTGTGCTGAAGGATGAGAATCCGAAAGGTTCAGGGTTGAAAGCACGAAAGGGTACGAGGAAAGCAAGGCAACTTCAAAGGGTTCATGAATAACCCTTTGACCCTCCAAGGAGCAGCAAATACTACCTGACTACCTAGATAAGGATGTCTGAATTCCAAAAAATATAACTGGGCTGGCTTCTTTCCTATATGGGACAAGCGGAGTTAGTTTGGATCCTATTCCCGATCGGTCCTCAAGGTTCCTAGGTAATAAAAACAGCTAAAAGATCCGAGCTCAGTATTGGCTCAACTACGGGAAGAACTACTACCTCAAGAAAACTCAGAAACACCCTCACCAACCCGGAATCACTTCTGAGCACTGGAGGCAGCCCTTTACACATAATGATGGAGCTCCAATGACCCGGCAGCCCTCAAAGGGAAAAGTTCCACAAAAGGTAGATTGCAGCAAATTAAGGAATAATCGCTCCTGGAATAATCCCAATCGCTTCTTTGCTTCAAGTATTTCCAATCTTCAAACATTTTTGCCAATACTCCTCGAAAACGTCAGAAAATTTAGCGCTTTAAACCCCATTGAGCTCTTCAGCCAAGACAAAAACCCCATCTCCTCCGTCACTCAACTGACACACGCGTTGTGTGGGAGCCCGTCAGTCTCTCAAATCGAACAGCAGGCATTTTTCTCACACATCACGTGGCAGTAGGCGCAGTGAAAGCAGCGCCAAGCCAACGAGTGGCTCGGCGGCCGGCTATTAGAGGATTATAACGAATGACCAGCTGATGAGGAGGCTCGCTGTGTGCGGTGACGGATGAGGAGCGACGTGGGGTGAGGAGAGTGTGAGAGAGCGACGGGACGGACCCATTGGTCCCCTCCGATGACAGAAGGCGCTAGGCCGAGTGAGGGCAGAACCGAGAAAAATAGGCCAAAACCAAAATCAATCTCATTCGCAGAACTTTTGTAAGACCATCAGAGAGTCCACTCAGAGTCATTCTATTGATACTGCTCGACCGACCGTAAAAGGCCAACCAGAATGATAAGGAAAGAGTCAATCGATATCAGAACTAAGAAAATCAGATTTTTTGCCATTTTCAATGAAGAAACGCAGAAAACACAACAGAATGAGTAACAAGGGAATGAAAGAACAGAACTTTTCAAGGGAAAGAGCAACGAAGGAAAGAAAACTCAAAACAGAGAAAACTCTTAGGTTAACCAACCTTCCATCCAGCAGCATCCTCTTGACTAGATCGATCTCGAAAATACGGAATATTATCAGAAAACCATTGATAGATCTCGTTGAGCTTGAGCCGTCCATCCGGGGCGGATTCGAGCGCCTTGGCGATGATATCCGAATAGGAGTCTTCACCCCATGGGTTCGGTTTCTTCTGCGCTAACTGATCACTAGGCTTCTTACGACATCGTTTCTTCTTCGGAGGTAGCAAGGAATGGCCGGCTGACATGCCGGGAGGTAGTGACATACCGAGGGGCATCAGATGCGTACCCATCGCCGTCGACGATGACGGGGTAGCGGCCAGAAGTTGAGCCACCGTGGGCTCACGAATCATCGACAGATGCAGCTGTGGTGGATGGTCTGTGGGTAAGGGTGTAGAGGGATCGTAGACAAATTGCTGCATTGGCCATGTGTAGCAGCGTCCACGAGGCTCTGGGCCGAAGTCATCGTCAACGGACGACGACGACACCGACGCCTCCATCAGGAAAGACAAAATGGCTGTAGAATGAGGTAGTATAGTAGCGAGCAGTACGATGGGACTAGGGTAATGAATGAGGTGATATGAAAATCACGAGGTAGCTGGGGACGAGGTAGAGGGAGAGGCGAGGTAGATGACGACGACGAGGAGGAGGCGAATGCGACGCGACGCGAGTTATGAGCAGGCGGGCAAAAAAACCGAACGCGACGCCCCGGTCGATTGTGTGCTGCAGCAGTGT